ATGAAATACGGTAAATGGATGTCAAAGGCGCTTTCCTTAATGAGAAGTTGGCTGAGGATGTTTACATGAGTCAGCCAGAGGGTTTCGTCGAAGCGAAGCGTCCTAATAGAGTGTGTAAGCTTGAGAAATCCATTTATGGATTAAAACAAGCATCTCGCAGATGGAAACTTTGTTTTGATGAGAAAGTCAAAGAGTTTGGCTTCCTGAGAAGTGAGGATGAATTAACTGTATATGTCAAATCCAGTGGGAGTATAGTAAGCTTGCTCGTACTGTATGTTGATGACATACTACTCATAAGAAACGACATCCTGACCCTGCAGGACCTCAGAGAGGCTGAATTAACTGGATTGGGAAGTGTTTCGCTATGAAGGACCTCAGAGAGGCTACCTATATTTTGGGAATAAGGATAGTGAAAATAGGAGTAAAAGACTAATAGGACTTAGTCAGAATACTTACTTGGACAAGGTACTATAACGTTTTAGTATGGAGAATTCCAAGAAAGGGGAGTTACCGATACAAAGCAACGCCAATTTGAGTAAGACTCAAAGACCGAGTATCGAAGTCGGGATAGTAGAGATGAGCCGAGTCCCTTACGCTTCCGCAGTCGGCTCGATCATGTATGCTATGACTTGTACTCGCCCTGATGGGGCTTTCACTTTGAGCAGGGTCAACAGATATCAAGGGAACCCTGGCAGAGCACATTGGACCGTAGTCAAGAATATTCTTAAGTACCTTCAGCGGACCAAGGAATGGATTCTAGTCCTCGGTGGGAATGATGACTTAAGGGTGCGAGGGTATAGTAACGGCAGTTTTCAAACCGACCGGGTTAACTACCGCTCTCAGTTGGGATGGGTCTTTACCCAAAATGGAGGACCAGTGACTTGGAAAAGTTCCAAGAAAGAGACTGTAGCTGATTCAACGTGCGAATCAGAGTACATAGTGACGACCGAAGCATCAAAGGAGGCGATATGATTGAAGAAATTCATCGGAGACCTTGGAGTTGTAACAGCCATAAAAAAACCCATGGAAAATTTCTGTGATAATGAAGGAGCGGTTGCCTTGACCAAGTAACTGAGGGATCATGGCAGATCCCGACATATCGACATGAAATATCACTTTATTAGACATTGGGTAGAAGAAGGACTCCGCGTTGTAAAGAGGGTGTCGTTATAGGATAACCCAGTAAATCCCCTTACGAAGGGACTGAGAAGGGTTAAGCACCTGCAACACGCTAGGAGCATTGGGCTGAAGGACGATATTAGTTTAGATTAGTTAGCTTCGAAACGTTTAATAGATAAATTGTAATTGACATTCGATGATTAAATAAAGGAGTATTATTTACGAGTAAAGTTACTGTCTTGTGTTAATTATTTACTTATTGTTTCACTTTGCGTGTTTTGACTTCCTGAATAATAAGATTATTCGAACAGTCCACAGTTGCTCATACTTTGGAAGTAGGTATGAAAGAAGACTATTATGAATTGGTTTGTAGAATCTCTAAAATGTATTAGACATAGCAAAAGTTTGTTTCAACGTTCATGAGTGCTTATGAAATAAGATTTAAGCATTGGATTAAACCAACGCTTGCTAGCATTACTTCATGGAATTTATCACGAGTGATCGCAAGATGATAATATCATATAGTCTTTAAACCTAGATATATGGTTTATTGTTTGCAAGTTGGTTGTGCATTGATAATGCCTAAGCGCATCTGTAACTTAATGTTATAAAATGCATTGTTGTGCATGATTTGATGAGTGAATAGTAAATGAATATAAGTCAAAGTTTATCTGTTCCTTTTATCCTAAGAGGGTAAAAGCGATATATGAGCCCCTCGATGATTTGGTTTGACTTATGTGTCGGGCCCGGTCAGGACTGAATTGATGTGTTCAATTAAGTTCTCTGTCAGAAAAATCAGAGACCGAGAAACGAACTGCTAGACAATAAGTATGACTATGTTCCATGTAATTGTCCACAAGATATCTTGAATGGAGGACTATACGATCCCTTGTCTAAAGGACAAGTCAGAGTTCGAAAGCGGCTTTTGAGAGCTACGGTTACTAATCGGATCCTGAAGTCGTACTTGCATTTATAGTTATTAGATTTATCCAAGTGGCAGACTGTTGGATTAGTGTCTAAGTCCATAACTATATTTGGTATGTACTTGACCCGGTTGTAGCATGTTGTTTAATTAATATTGGTCAAGAATTAATAAAGAAATTGATTTTATGATCAAAAGAGATTAATTGAACTAAGGGGGATGGAATTGCAATTATAAGATAATTGGATTTTGTGCTGTGGATTTCTTGGATTATAGGGTGGATGATTTTAAGGCTGAAACCCACTTAGAAATTGACCAAGGCCTTATTCTGGAGGGTTCCATTCGACTGCTTAAGGCCTAAGCTATCCAAATAGGGTTTTGACTGAAACTCTAACAGCACACCTATATAAAGGACCCCATGGCTTCATATTTCGGCTAACCCCAAGAACCCTAGAGTTCTAAGGGCAGAAATTAAGCCTCCATTCCCTCTCTTCTTAATCATCTTCATGCCTTGGTGTTTGTAAGCCATTCGAGGTATTACAATTGTGATACTAAGCTCTTGAAGTTGAACATTCTTGCTACTATCAAAGGTAATCATCTAAACTTGTTTTAGTTGTAGATTTCAATTTTATAGTATGCTAGATTAGGGTTTACAAGCTTTGGATATATTTGCATGTACAATAAAGAAACCTAGATCCAAAGCTTTAGGGTTTTGCATGTGCACATAGGAATGTTCTTTTGCTCAAAACCCATCCAATGCAACATAGATAAAGCTAGCAGGGGAGAATGTTTTATTATTATTCATATCTCACACACCTACAAATCTCTATCTATAGAAAAATCAACATTACAGAAAATAAAAGGATAGAATTCAGATTAAATACCTCTACCATCAATATGGAAACTGAAAGGTTTGGAAGTTAAGGAGATGTATAGGCGCAAGTATAATGTGAATTCATAATGCTGCCCTTATTATCCATTATTATGTAGATGGATGTTGCCTCTATAAAAACATAGTTAAGAATGCTAGTGGAGCCATATTTCAATATTAGTCAAATAGTAAATACAAGTAGCAACAAAAACGATCAATATCTTCAAATCAACAAAGCTAGACGAAATGATACCCTCAAAACCGACAAAACGAACAAATCAAACCAAACCGAATATAGAAATGAGCAAGAAAAGCATACCCAAAATTGCAAATGGTAGAAATGAACAGTGCACGTGAACAGTGCGATGAACAGTAACGCCTCGTGAAACATTAATTGTCGGTGAACGGTAACTATGTGAACATTGTCCATGAACAGTAACACCGGTGAACAGTACTCTCCCCCAAAAACGAAAAAGTACAGATAATCAACCAAGCTCTGATACCATATAAACTAACAAGTGAGAGAAATATAACGGCTAGGGTTTCGTATCATTATCAAAGAGAAGTACAAATACAATGAAAGGGAAAGACATAATATATACACAAGCTAATTAGGGTTTCCTAGCGAAAAGGACCAAACATATAACCCAATATAAAATAAACCTCAAAATCTTATTAGGTTAACACGACTAATTTTGTTGAAAGCTATTTTGGGCAATATAGTTATGTATTATATGTCGGTATTCAAGGATCCAGATACGATGTTAAAAATGCTAGAGTCTTTAAGGGGTAGATTTTTTTGGGTGGTGGATGTGGGTGAAAGAAAGATTCATTGGATTGCTTTGAATCATGTTTTTGCTAGTAACATTGATGGAGGTTTAGGCATTGGTAGCCTAAATGATTATAGTAAAACATTACTTTTCAAATGGTATTGGAGATTTTTTAAAGATCCTCTAGCTCTTTGGGCTAAGATTATTACAACTATACATGGAGATATAAGGGGAGGTAGCATGATCTACAAAAATACAAGAGGATTGAGTCCTTGGGTTAGCATGCTTATAGGAGTGGAAAAATTAAAACGTAAAGGAATTAATATATATGATTATTAATGTAATAGTGGGAAATGATCGAAGTATTCTGTTTTGGCAAGATGCTTGGATAGGATACAAACCTTTGAAGGAGATGTTTCTTAGAGCTTTTGTGCTAGATTCGGACCCAAATGCTAAACTGGTGGATAGGGATGGTATTCATTAAATTAAGGAAAATTTTGTGAGACAACCATGGGTAGGGGTTCTGGTTGATCAATTGAAAAATCTTGGTGAGTTAATTAGAGAAATAGTGTTTTCTGATGTCAAGAGTAGGCGACATTGGGAGCTTGATAAAGATGGTTTTTTCACAGTTGCTTCTACAAGAGTTCACTTAGATTTCGTTTTGTTGGAGAGTTCAACACAACCTACTAGATGGAACACTCTAGTTCTTAGAAAATATAATGTTTTGTTATGAATATTAGTTAGAAACATGGTCCCTACTGGATTTAATATGATAGATAAGAACATTGATTTGGATTGTTTGCTTTGCCCAGTTTGTGAACAAACAGGTGAATCCATAGGACGTCTTTTCACGTCTTGTTTGTTGCTTCTATTTGGGAAAAAATTGCAGCTTGGTGGGATGTGGATCGATCTAGAACTAATCTGGTAACATGGACTGATAAACTGAACTTTAATGTGGAGACTAAACAAAACTTTGATGTTGTGGTCATGGTCACGTTTTGGAGCCTGTGGAGCTATAGAGTAAGTTTGTGAATGAAATGGTGAAGCCTCGCAAAGATGAAATCTTTGATAACATTCGTTCTTTTGTTTATTTTTTGGTAAAGAATAGGCGTAAGAATTGTAAAATTTATTGGAATTGTTGGTTGATTGGTCTAAAACTAGTTATGTCATCTTTGTAATTTGGTTTTGCTTCTAGCTTCTTGCTAGAGAGTTTTATATAAAAAAATTATTGGTCAAAAAAATTGCAACTAATATCATTTTTATTCATAAATTTTTATTATTGTATATCCATAAAAAGTAAAAACAATACAATTATGTTTTACCAAGCTGCCTTCTTATCCCAATCGTCAGGAAATGTATGGTTGTGTTTACTTACGTAAAGTCCATCCGATCTTACTAACCAATAACATCTTTGAACTACAAAAATATTCCCATTGAAACATTTGTTAAAAATGTTATAGTTAAAAATACTAACACTTGCATACTTTGATCCCCACCAAAACTCACCATTATAAATGGTCTTAACTTTTGCACGAATTATCCAATCAAACTCTTCGTTGAAGGCAAGTGTCCGCTTTCCTTGGTAGTCGCCGCCTTTGCCAGAGATATTGACTATGACATTATCTTCAACGACATTTGTGAGATACATCCTAAATTTGGTAATCGTATTGGGTACTACTATTGAACCTAAACCCATACAAAATGACACCATTGTCAAAATCACAACTGCATGTATCATCAAATTCATGTTTGATTTTTATCAATCGGTAATGTCTTTTCTATTGTGTGTTTTTTACAACTCTCTCTATTTATATAAAATAAAATACAACTAATTTTAATGGTATAATATGATTTGTGTAATATGAAAATGAATCAGTTTAATTGCCATAAATTTCTCATTAATGATCTGTCTCTTGTTAGATTTGCATTAAATGAATTAAAACAAATATATGACACCTGAACAAAAGTTATAAATAATTACTTTATGTATTTTTGCCTTTGATTATAGATTATTTTTAACAAAGAATTTTTTTACTAAAATTGGGAGAAAAAAAATAATAAGAAACCAGCATGGTACAAAATAGTTATGAATTTCTATTTAATTAAGAGGAACCATTTCATTCGATCCGATCTAAATTGCAAAGTTTGCACCGTGTTTTAATTCATTAAAATTTATATTTTGATATCGTCTGCCAAATTAGGAGAGTTTAATAACGTTTTTTCCCGCCTTCAAAATATGTCTAACAACAGTTTAACACCACAAATAAAAGTTTTGATCTCTTGGAATTGTTCTGGATGTGCGTAGAGTAACACAAAGAGAGAGTTTTGGGACCTAAGTTCATTGCATACTATTTTAAGTCCCATGACCATACAACCTTTGGGAACATGCATGAAGAAAAAGCATGGTTATTTATGTCATATTCATCCTTATAAAAAGGATATCAAATGTCAAACATTTTGACCCTACTAAACATAAGGTTTCAAACAAAAATTCGTAATGTGTGGGATTTGATTTTTAGAAGAGTTATATTATTCATGAATTAAACACGTTAATATTGAACACAATAAGTATTGATGTGAATATCATATCCCAATATATGTAAACAATATAACGATTGTTGTCTTAATGTTCCAATAATCTAACTACTAAATCCAAATCAAATTACATTTATAGAATAACAAAGTCTTATAACTCAAGCTTAACCCATCATGCTTAGTTTGATGGAAGGACTTTATTAATAGGTATGAATAAATTTAATTTTGTATGAATTTTGCGAATATGATTATCGCCATATTTGACTTTATTGTAAGTATAGTTAAATATCTTGGAGAATATGATTTCTGTTCTGATGTGGCATAGTCGCTTAGCTTAATTAAGTATGCTCTTGAAATCACGAAAGATTTCTATATTATCCTTGAATGAAAGGAACCAACTTAGTTTTTAATGAGCTCATTCATCCAATCATATTTGATTGCAACTTATAAAGTAGCAGTGTATTCTTATTTTGTAGTATACTATGCAACCATCTTTTGCGTGGACCTCATTCTACCAAAACTTTTTCTTCATCTATAATGAATTCATAATCGAATTATAATTCATAATGAAATCTATCTGTTTTAAAGTCAACATCTTAAGTGGATAAATAGTTTAGAAGAAGCTTCGATGCATTTTTGGAGCTGAATGGAACTAAAATAGTTGAGGAAATTGGAACCTTGGATAGATTTGCTGAAACTAAAGAGTTTGTGTCCGAAATACGCATTTACAGATTTAGACGATCTTGTTTTCCATTCCGTGATCGTGATTTTGACCATGTTATGGAGTGAAAATCAAGTTTTGTCACTTCTAAGGACTTACACGATCGTGTTTGTCGAAAATCAGGATTGTGTTTTTGATAAATATATCCGAAATAGCAATGTACTTAATTAAATGCGAAAACAACTGAATTTTAATGAAAGTGTTGCGCTCCCATGGTGTGTTTTTCAAGTTTTGTTTTTTTGAAGTTGATGTTTTGCATATAAATACATGTTTTGTTTCCAGTTTCGAGAGAGAATATCAGAAACCCTTTCCATACGATTTTTGGGAGATTTCTGCACTTTTTCATCGATTTTTGAAGATCTAAAGATTGTGGATCAATTGTCTCAATTAGTTTAGTTAGATTAGTTGTTTAGCCTTTCTTTTTATCGTTTTAGACTATTTTTATCCATGTTTAGCTAAAAACTCTAGTTTTTAGTTTTGTGAAATATTAGTACTTTTATGTGATTAATCAATAGATTTGGTTTTTAAATTGTATTTCTATCTAGTGGTTTTAGTTGTATGCTTAATGAATGTTTGATTTTTGATTCTTTTTAGATGATCACCTAATTTAGGATTAAATCATTCAAGTTAATCAGTTGTTAAAATTCATAATTGTTATAATCATGCAGTAATAATTAGCAAGTAATAGATCAACCTTGTGTTGTGATTTGAGTATGTTACAAACTGAAAATCACATACTAAAGAGATTGTTCTAGTTAATTAATTTGATAAAAGAGAACTTACTAGAGCTTGTTAGTAGTTTCTCGCACCAGCTTAGATAGAACATATCTTAAATAACTATATCTAGATTTATTACATAATTAGGAAAGTCACAACATAATTGAAACATTTTTTATTTTTTAATTTAATTTAGTTAGTTCACTATTATTTTTAGTTTTTAATATTCTAAAAAACCTCACTTTTTATTTTTTTGTTATATGACTAGTATGTACATTAAGCAAAGAGGCATTAACTATTAGGTTGTGTCCCTGAGGATTCGACCCTGCTTCTTCGTGACAACTATTAGTGCAACATAATCTTTATTTGTTTAGAAATTGTAACAGCCCGTTATTTCAAGTCTGTAAAGGGTCAAAAAAGTCAACCAATGTCAACAAAATTCAAACATGATAAATAAAAGTCAAACACGTCAAGTATTAAGTCAATTTGATAATTTGTTAAATTTGTAAGGATTAAATAATGCTTTAATAATAGAAATAACTATATTATATAAGTGTTTTAGAATATTGAAATTCATATCACTTGGACCGAAAACACAAATATGTTCTAATCTAGAACCGAAATCATATGCGAAGGGACCCACCCTTCGGCCGAAAATGCCATGCGAGGCCCTACTTAGAGACCGAAATCAACATCACCGCCAACAGATTGGACCAAGAGCCTCCACCGAAAATATCTTGCATCGAGAACCTTCTTCTGACCGGAAACAATTACCCTTGATCGCATCACTAGTCATCCATATCACATCAATCATCCTGTACCTTCCCACACTGTCATACTGACACTAAAAACTACGGCTAAATAGCCCCATTTTGGGTTTACATCCTAACTATGAAAGTCACATACTTGCTCATTCCTTCTTTGAACTCGGAAGACTGAATGGACATGATCCTCACCATAGATAGCGGTATCCCAATCCACCAGTCAACCGCTCAGCTTCCAGCTACAATCCTCAAGCCAATCATAACAATAATTTCCTTCTTGAGCCCCGTGACTCAAATGCATGGCATCGACTAAGGCCCTCGAGACCTCAAAACTAACAAACTCACATATGGCTGCACTGTTCAAACCTAAGCTAACATCGCCATTGAGGCCCAAAACAATTACCAGAACCATCCTCATGCCAGAACAACCATAACCAAATGTTCGACAAATTTGGAACCACTGCCACATGTCATGGTTATCCAACCATGCTATCTACCCTTACTAGCTCTTTTGAATCCTCGTGACTTCCTTGATTCGAGTATGGATCCTGTGCTTCCAATAGTACAAGCCCAATACTACCTTCCACACATATCCATACTTTCCTGAAGAATAATCCTGAGTCCTCTAAGTTACCTACTCATAATAGTACTTCCAACACCCGCTATACAACATAGCAACCGGACTAAAGCACTTCCTAGGCTCTCCTGGGATTCCCACCTCCCCTGTCATCAACTTCTAAAAAGCCCCTAGTAGTGTCAACTAACCACTTCATGAATACAATACATGCAACAAAAGTTAAATAATCTTTTGACTAAATGACTCAACCCTACAACGATTAGACGTAAACGAGATATGCGTAATAGGACCAAATCCTTCACTGTAAGATTATTTAACCTTTATAGCATGTAATTTAACATATTCATTCGATAATTAACTCACATCAATATGAGTCCCACAAAGCACAATCAAGCAACAATCACACAGTGGAGTTGATTGGCACTAAGACACAATAAAAAAAATCAAGCAAATCCTTATACGAAATTCCCGACCACTAGGCCCAAGCATCTAGAATACACCCTTATTCTGTCCTCACTCTAACAAGAGTGGCTAAACATTCCTCATGCTAACATGCTATAAACCGCACCCACTCATGAAACTTCCACGAAGCATGCAACCAATCGTGCATGCTAATCGTACATAATGTTGGATCCTATAGATAGTCGAATACTTGACTATACCCTAAGCCCTTAATCAGACAACAACATGAAATAATGCTAAATCAAACATTCTCAGGCTATAGAATCTTTGTTATGTACAACTATGATGCACACACTAAGCGACTACAGTAATGATGTCAATTTAATATAGCATATAAGAAGTCCTCCTAGGCTATCAGGCATCATACATTAGGTCCTATATCAGGAAATTCTATAATACAATTCCCGGAGATCCCTAGCCTATCACTAACATGCAGTTCTTTCATAATCATCATAAACAAGTCACAGTGTGGTAACTTAGGGTAAACTTTCTTGCTGGATGATCGTACACATCTCATCCTTCCTTGGTTAATTTTTAAAATAATTTGAATTTAATTTGAAACTAATTTTGAAACTTTCACAGATCCTTATTTTGAGTTTGGATTCACATCAATGCTCATCCAATTCACTCAAACCAGGGCTATGATACCAACTTGTAACATCCCAAAAATCAAAGTAAAATTTTAATTTTTCCAAAATAACTCCAAGTCAATAATTGTTAAAAAAAACATTGTTTCAAAAGTATAGTTTGTAAATCAGAATATACCAAAATCCAATAACATAAAAGCTAAAGGATGTGCATGCATGATTACTTCTTTGCTGTTCCCGATCATTGGAAAACTTTAAACCATAACAAACAACTATAAGCACAAAGTTTAGTGAGTTCCCCTAAAGTACCACCACATAACATAAGAAACAACATAATGCATACAGAGGCTTCAACATGGCTGGACCACCATACCGACCTATAGA